CATGAAATATGTTTTTTTCTAAAAATTTGGACCATTTCCAAAAAAGAAGACCAATTTCCAACTATATCGTTACTATCGAAAGTACTCCCCTCCATGAGCTTACCAATTCGTCTACTGGAGACTGAACAATACACACACGCCACCTAAAAGTAGCCACGCAATGATAAAAAATACATCCGCGAGAATAGCCCAATTTTGACAATAAAAACGATGCGGAGCTCTTGGTGAATATGTTAAAAAACAATTTTTAAAAGGTTCTCTCATTTTTCTCACGAAGGATTGTGTCCCCTTTGCCTTCTTCTTCTCTATTCTTCTTTCTCTTTGATTGTTGTATTCTAGACGTAGCCTGGATCGATTTGAGCTGTGTACCCTCGTTTTAATATTCAATTTGGCATGTAATCACTATATATATTGTACACGCACGAAAACATAAGTAATTCGAATTCGACGATTCGCGTGTCTCATCGCCTCGTCATCTCTCGAATTCGGGGCTCGTGTCTACTGCTATGCCTCTTAACACAGGTCACTAGAAGTACACGCACACGCGTCCACACCTATAAACAAAAATACCTTGTATAATGCTTTATAGCTTTGTCAAACTCGCGTTTTGCACGCGCAATTTTCGACACCAGCACGCACATCGCGCGCAGCCCGAGAGTGATTACCTCTCGTTCGAGAGCTCGTATATATATATTGTGTTATATATTTGTGTAGCTTGTATGGGTCCCGGTCGAGTCATCGCCATTCATCAAGGCGGCCGCGCGCAAACACGCAAACTAAACGCGCGGGGCATGCACACGACTCGCGACATGGCCCGCGTGTATACGCGTTATACATTTTTTTCATCATCTGGTTTAATAGTTCAAGGGTGTGGCACAGCTCGGTCTCTTTCTTTCTCGTATTTTCTAGTTTTGCTCTCTACCTCTTTCGAGTTTCAACGCCTCTCTGTCTCTCTCTTTCTCTCGACACGAGAGCTAGCACGCGCGTCCATTTGGCAAATTGATTTCATTACACAGGTGCAGCAGCCGTGTGCACGCACGAGCTCGAATATATATGTGCAAACGAGAGTGCGTGAGCTGCCGTTGTCTTCCGTATACATACTAGGCCGAGAACACGCGTGTACGAGAGAGCACGATAAAATTTCATATTAATATAATGCCAGAAAGTCTACTAATGTTTAATCTGCTTTTGTTGCAGAATATATTTCGTTATGTCTTAAAATTTTTCACGCTCAATATAGTAGAAGTACGCAATATAAATAATGGTCTAATGAATAAGGATGGCCATTGAAAATGATTCAAAATACAATACCATTAATTAACTGATTTTTTCTTTTAGAATTGTGTTAAAAACATTAAGCAAATTTCCAATGACTCAAAAATCTGTTTCGAAAAATGTAAATCAGTTTTCAAACACATTAAATACGATCATATCACTTTAAGTTTCTACCACTAGATGGCGATTACCTTACATGAGTTAATCTGAAAGTGGCAAAGTTAAAATAATATTATAATAACGTTCTGAAATATAGGTTTTTATTGTATATGCCATCATGCCGGAATTGATTTGGCATTATTCAAATTTATAAAATGATGTATTAAAAATACCGTCGAAAATCAAGTTACGCACGAATTATGCTGCCAAATAGAACTACGACGCCCTCGATTCAATCTAGACATATTGCAGCGCAATTTCCAAATCGAACTTCACTTCGAAAATTGTTTTTCCACTCGTCATGATGAATCGCGGCATCAGTAGTAGAGAAGCCTCGAAACGACCCGAGCAGTGCACCGTATTATATATTGCAATTATATCAATTTACATCTCGCGCATAGCTTAAAACAAATCCAGCACAGGGCTGAGAAATGTTTCGCGCGTCCTACATCCACGCGACCGTGGTTAAAACTGCGCGCTCGGGCTCGCGAAGCTCGCGCGCACACGGTACCGGCATTGGTGCGCCCAGAGAACTAATCAAACTTTCTCGTAACTTTGCGTTACGTATACTCCGCGGCGTGTTTCCGGCATACAGAGGGCCCCCGTACAGACAGGCGCATTCGCGATCGCTCTAGCGTACACATAGCAATCGGATAAACGAAATGTCGCTCAAAAAGGATCTCTCTTTCTCTAGCCGGTGGTAGCTATTGTTGGGCGCCAGAGGGAGCGATAAAAAAAAAGAGAAGAAAATCTAAAAGCGATGTGCACACTCGGTGCCTATATAGGATCGGCAACGCGCACGCGTCTATATCGCACGCACGCGAGCGGCTGCACGTGCGAAGAAAAGATTTCGTGCACCGGCCGTATATTATACGTGCAGTTGGAGGCTTTGAGCTTCTTACGTTATAAACCTAGTAACTATATAGCTATATATATATTCTTGGGATATTACTCGGAATCTCGCGCACGGCGCGTATACACACCGTATACCGCGAGTAGAAGTACGGTAAGCTTATAGACGTGCTCGCTTCGCGGAAGTCTCGATGCTTTTCACCGAAACACTGCATTGAAACGTATGCGTCGTCGTCGTCGTCGTCGCCTTAGCTGCGCACGCAGGCGCGATTTTCCATTGCTGCGTCTCGCGCTCGGTGTCTTCTGCAAATGCGGCGATGATCGCCAACGCACGCACACATTTACGGAAAACCAGTTAGCGTGCTTTTTTTGTTATTATTTTTGTAAAGGACGATATACCTGTAAAAAATCATCGATCAGCTCGATGCGTTCCCGACGAACTATGCTGTGGTTGCTGCTGCTACTGCTAGCTTTTCCCGCTGCGATTTCTTGTCCATAAGAAAGTCAAGTGCGCTGACTGCTGTATGTTCTGCGCGCGTTACGATCCCCAGACCTTATCGGAAAACGAGTCTTCGAAAGCTACCGTGAATGGTGTACGTGTGCGCATATTATACATCGACTTTTAATTCGTCCACGACTATGCGTGACTGACGCGAGATCTGTGGCTCATTATAACGTCGGGGGTCGTTTCTCTCTGAGGATACGCGAGAGGTCAATTACGCATTCGCTTTTTTTACGACAGAGAGACACTCGTTCGCAGTTTCGAGTCACACGACCACCGTGAAGCTGCACAGGATATTTTGATCAGAAAAAAAGTATTATTATATTGAAATCGACTTATAGCGTTGCAATTTCTTATTTTAGATGCATTAAATAACCGACCATCAAGCAAGGACTAACTAATTGCGGACTCGCAGATATTTGATACGTTTCACCTATACAATATAATATCGTCAGCGATCACTGACTCATGTAGATCTCGAGTTGCTTTTTATTATTTACGTTCACGCGCATTACAACGATTTTTCACTAATCCCCGCAACGTTTCGTCGTCGAGAAGGAAAATAAACAATCTTGTGTGTACGCAAATAGTCATGAAATCATTCAGATTCTCCATTACGTACGAAATCATCCAAATAATTTTCAAAATTATAGAGAGCATTCACTGCTGAATAATAGTCCTTTGATTCCGAATCCTCGCGCGCGCTTTGATGCACCGTGAAATTTCACTCTCGATAAATTTAGAGAACGCAATCTATCGCGGCACACTCTCATTTCTGCATTGCGCGCAATTTATATATGCATGAGTTTACGGTCAAATATTCGAAAATGCGCGTACGAAGGCGCATAAGCTGCCTTCGCATGCACAAATTACACGCAACACGCGCGTTAGAATTCGCAGATTTTATTATGCACGTGAGCGTATACAGGGGGTCATATTATATACACAGAGAGGATTGTAAACCTGTTTGGATCGTCCGCGTACATTTATACGTGCACACGCGCGAGCTCACGCATTATGCATATATATACGTATATGAGAAAAACCTCGCGAGCCGCACGGGCTAATTAGCATCGTTGATTTACGCATTTAATCTCCAACTTTTTCGATTTTACGATCGTCATTAGATCCGCGGCGATGTGAATGGCCCTTTTTACGACGTCGCGGCTTCTTTTTACCTCTTGGGTCTCGCAGGACGAGTCCGAGAGTCTCCAGCTCTTCCTATATCTCTTCTTCTCTCTGCGTTCCTTTTGATTTTCTCATTATTTTCGTGCTTTGGTGCGCGTGAACGCGGACCATTCTTTTCTCGATGGTACGCCCCATTTCCGAAATTCGTTCACAAACATAAACTCGCTATTTGATTCGAAAATCGTGTTATAATTGATAAAAAGAAACTTGTGAACTTGTTCTCAGGAGGTCACGCATTATTTATTCGTTTTCGTCGATCCAAGCATTCCATATAAGTGTCGAGAGACGTTTGTTAATGCCAACAGCGTGAAAACGACACTATTGTAATGTTTTATTACAATATACGCTGCGTTTACGTACGGCTGCGCTCGCGTAATCCAGGTGACAAACTGGCAAGCCCATTATTTATGAGCGCAACTTGATGGAATCCTCGTTTGATAAAAAGCACTCGGCGCGATATATATTATATAATGGGACTCTTTAAGCTCGCCGTCGGCGCCGAACCCGCGCGATATAATGCCTGGCACGAGGCGAATCATCGGCTCATAAAAGGCGCCCGCGCGCGCATATATAATAAAGCTCAAAAATGCTCTTTGATAGTGCACGCGAACGGAGGCAGCGGCAATTCTGGAAGCGCCTCGTGCGCTTCAACTTTTTGACTGTGCGAAAGGCAGGTCGTCGTCGTCGTCGTCGTCGCCGTTCTAGCTACTGCTGCAATTTAATATAATGCGAATTCATTCTCTGACACACTGCTTCTGCTGCCTTATTGTCATCCGGAGCTCGTTCTTGCAGCTTTAAAGTTATCCCTTTTCTTTGTTTTGTTCGTGCGCCAGACTATACGTATACGACGAAGTTTCTTGCAAGCTCGCTCGCGCCCGCGTACTTCTTTTGTAAGAATTTGCAAGAGCTGCAATGCAATATTTACCCAAAAGGATTTTTTGATACTTACCCCTTTTTTTCAAACGTATATAAGCAAATATTCATCGTTATTAATTAATAATTGTTTATTTCTTTCTTTCCTCAGATTAACCTGTACGGAGCCTTACTTTGTGAGCGAAGGTCTGTACTGCTCGGCGGACGAGTTGGAAAATACCAAGGAGGTGACTCTCCACGTAATCACCATTGGGAAAGGCATCACCGAGCCGCACGAAGTGAGTACAAACGCTATCATCATCAATGACTTCTCCGCAGCTATCGTCGCAAACGTATCGCGTTTCGTTCTGTCTGCAACCAAATTTTTCAGCATTCCGGGATAGCTCGGGACTGTAATATAATTTCCGAGATTACATCGAATGCTCGCCACGAATCGCGAAAAATGTTTATACTTTCATCTATTAATATTCGCTTGAAGCGGCTGATAGGTCTCGCTATCGCGCCGCGACCGTCTCGAAGCTCATATTTAATAAGCACTCGTGTGCGATACGCACGTAAATTGCTTGTATCACATACGCGCGACGATGCGCATACGCGGACAGGCTTGTACATTCATATAATATTTATTATACACACGGAATAAGCCAAGCGCGATACATATATGGCAGAGAATTTAATTGCGCTCGCGCACATAAGAATTCATTTACGCGCGCGGGATTGCGCTCGGCTATCAACGGAGCAATTGAACGTATAAACATTTTCGCCGAGACCTCCCGAGAAATAGTGCGAGACGCTTCTCGCGCTATTTGCGCCTTGATACGCGAGCTCTGCAAAACGCAGATGATAAGTCGATAATGCGGCGCTATGTAGCGATACGTTTGATGCTGCGCGCAAGCGCCTCGGTCCCGAGTACATGTGCTGTTCCGCTCTCGTTCGCTTTGGATTTTATAAGTGTATAATATTCGCGGCACGTGTTCATTGGATATAATGTGTAATATCCTTGTACGCAATATATAAGTATGCTCGAATGGGCGGAAAAGAGGAGAAACCATATGGCCGCCGTTAATTTAATTTCACTGTAAATTTCTGCGATTCCTAGTCCTGATCGCGCGAGGAACTCAAAAAAAAAACCTTGAGAGATCATTTGCACTCGCTCGTCCACGCCGTGTGCGGTTCGATTCGATGATACAGCTGATTGCGTTAAAAGCGCAAGCTCGAGTATTTTCTATATAGCGATGTACTTTCAGATGTTGTACTCGCACAAAGGAGATGCGCTGATTCTCAGCCGTATTTTTTATTATTTACATCGCCTACTGAAAAGGAGACCACATGAATCCGTCTATTATGATCCGAAACCCGTGACTTATCTAAAAATATTTTAAGAATTTCTTTTTTGTTCAATTTGAGGCCCATTTTTTAATGATTTTTTATTTAATAAATAGTGCGACTTAGTCACCTTAAAAGGAAACTGTAGAATACTTTGGGTGAAAGGAAAAAGAATAGAAAAGTTTTGGAATTAGTCGAAGACTGACTATAAAAAAAATGCATAGAAGCTCGAATATCTATTAAAATAGACAAGACGACGCCCAATAGATGCGCACACGCAGTGCTGCACGAGTGCCGAAACTCCTTTACTAGACCAATGTGAATTTTTGAGTAGAGACTTGAAAACAGCTGCTATTTTATGAAATTTGATCGCAATACTCACAGCTAGCAGAAGTAACGCATTGAAAAATACAAAAATTTAATTTATTGCGATCTAAGGCAAGCGTAAGAAAACTCTCGGCGGATCGTTGCACGAAAATCTTCAGTAGTACAGTAGTACAGTAGTAGAATTAGTAGTACGTGAAAACACCCCAACGTCAGTGTACCAAGATGTAATTATATGTGAACGTCTGAGGTTCGGGTAATATACAATTATCATTTCAGCACAATTTTTATTGAAATTTTACAAAAATATATGTATACATATTTACAGTTGTCAATCATCATTTCTTCTCGCATTTGTATCAAGCAAAATCTTTGCGACCCTCATGGATTGTTATCGTGTGCATGAGCAAATGCTGTTTTTGTCCGAATTTTTTTTCGCACTTGTCGCATGCATAATCTTTACGACCTTCATGTACTGTTTTTTTATGTCTGAACAAATCTGATTTCTTTCCAAATATTCTTTCGCACTCGTCGCAAGAGTAATATTTGTGACCTTCGTGTACTGTCATTTGATGTCTTCTCAAATTGTCTTGATGCCCATATGTCATCTCGCACTTGTCGCATGCGAAATCATTGAGACATTCATGAAACTTCTTTTGGTGTCTGAGCAAATTCGATTTTCGACTAAATTTCTCCTTGCACTTATTACAGGGGAAGTCCCTGAGACCCTCGTGTACTGTCTTTTGGTGGCGGAGCAAATTTGGTTTTTGTCCAAATTTCTGCCCGCAAATATCGCATGTAAAATCTTTCCGACCATCGTGGACTGTCTTTTGGTGTCGAAACAATTTTGATTTTTCTCCAAATTTCTGCTCGCAATTATCGCATGCGTTATTTTTGCAACCCTCGTGGACTAACCTTTGGTGTTTCAACAAATCTGACTTAAATCCGAATTTTTTCTGGCAATCATCGCACGCGAAATCTTTGTGACCTTCGTGGACTACTTTTTGGTGCAAAAGCAAACTCGATTTTCGTGAAAATTTTTTCTCGCACTTGTCGCATTCGTAATTTGTCTTCGTGCTTTGACCTTCGTGCACTGTTTTTTGGTGGTAGAGCAAACTGATTTTTTGTCCGAATTTCTGTTCGCATGTATTGCATGCAAAATCTCTGCGACCTTCGTGTACTGTCTTTTGGTGTCTTCTGAAATTTCTTTTATCCCCAAATTTCTTATCACATTTGTCACATATGTAATCATTACAACCATCATGGATTGTATTTCGGAGTTTGACCAAATCTAATTTTATTCTAAATTTTTTCTTGCGTTCATCACAGGTAAAATTGTTTCGATCATCGTGTATTGTCTTTATGTGCAAGAGCAAACTCTGTTTATTTCCGAATCTCTTGGCACACTTTTCACATAAGTAATCTTTGAAAACTTCGTGGAATATTCTTTTGTGCTTCAGTAAAGTTAGCTTATTTTCAAACTTCCTCTCGCACTTGTTGCACGTGAAATCCTTGCGATCCGTATGGACTAATTTTTGGTGCGTTAATAAACTCGATATTTTCACAAATTTTTTCTCGCATCTGTCGCATGCAAAAATATTGCGGTATTTGTGGTCCGATTTTTGGTGTCTACTCAAATGACTTCGGAACTCAAATTTCTTTTCGCACTTTTCACATGAGTAATTTTTTTGTTCATTATGAATTGTGTCTTGGTGTATCATCATACTTGGTTCTTGTGTAAATGTCTTCTGGCAAATATCACAAACGTATTTTGTGTCGCCCAGAACAACAGTATCATGTTCACTTGAGTTATCTTTTGAAACGATTTCCTCAGATTTCCTCTCACTTTCATTCATTTTAGTTCGTAAAATGAACGATAAATCTTTCTATTTAATGACAAGAAAAATTAATGAGTAAAATATAACTTTTGATATTATGGCTTGTTTCATCGGGAAATACAACATTCAAACTAATTTGTTTTTATTATAAACATGATCAGTGTATCAAGCGACTATGTTAAAATCGTTTATGATCATATTGTTTACAATTAAGTTCCTGATGTATCTGTTTATACTTTATTCTTACAATATTTGACCCAGTTTAAAATTCTAAGTTGGCGACGACTTCTTCAAGGAATTTTTGGGCCTTCTCAAACTTAGTAGTATTGAACTTTGATATTGAAAAATACATCTTCGACGAGATTTATACTCTTTAAGCGTCTATACCGTAAATATCATCAAGTCGGCACAGCAATAATCTAGAAAAACGGAATCTCGCAAAGTAAAAGAAAAAAAAATCGCGAGGAAATGTGTGAGCGTATCATGAGCCCGAGAGTAAAAATAATTTTCCACGTAGTCTCTGCCGCGCTCTCGCGTAGTCCGTGTAAAGAGAAAAGAGGGTTTACTGGAATCCAAGCACCTCGGAGCTCGCTCGCTCGCTTGCGCGTCTGCTTGAATAATGTGGTTATAATTATTTTTGTATGGGCTTAATGGGCCTTGTTAATTATTATGTGGGGCGAGCGCAGCGCCGAGAGAGAGAGGCTCGCCGCCGCCTCAACCGATGCTTATGTAGACTGCACAGCACATAACGCGTATCATAGGTATACGCGCCAAAGCCCCGCGCGAAGCCGCTAAAAATATAATCAAGACTTTAACGAGAGTGAGAAAGCACATGCGAAAGAGCTTATAGGCTGCATGTAGTTACAGTACGGTAGATCGGATAGCAGATCTGGAGTGTGCTCAGCGACTCTCTTGCCTCGTGCCTGGCGCGCAGACATCGCGTGAAGATAGCGCGAACAGACGCTCTCTATATTATGCTCCATGTGTGCGCAGGGCTTATATTCTCGCTGCAGATCGGAGCCGTAGATGCGCAGCTTCGATCGTTACATTCGCACGCCTATAAAAATCACACGCGCGAGTGTTAATCTAATTTGTCTGGTCTTTCGAGCTAGCGGTGAGCGCAACTTTACATAATAATATAAATGTGTATTGCTTTGGAATTTTTTGGCTAATTGCAATTATACGCGAACTTCGGATGTTCGTTAGAATACGTTGAGTACAACGGAGATAAATAATGTTGCTCGTAATGCGCGCATCGCATGATTATTGATCTCTTCGTTTTCATCAATACAATTTTTCTTTCGCATAGCGCTTAAGGAGGTTCCCTCGGGTAACACGCTAGTCAATTGAGAGTTCGCGCAGTAACATGGGTTAAGTTAGCTGGCTTGTAGTCTGCTAGTCCTAAAACGAGTTGAAAAAGTCGTGTTTTCGCGTCTTTTATTAAAAAAATATTGAAAAAACGGCAGGCTACCTATACTTTGAGACACGATTTTTGAAAGATAAGAGCTTTCTCTACAATTTGTATATAATCATTCCTCTGCGAACTTTGATTTCTTTTCATAAATTGTAAATGTAGCTCAAAAGTTCATAAATTCCTATGTTGCCCATGTTAATTTTCGAAACTTTGATCGCGTTTTTCTCGAGATTTTGCCTGGCTTGGGCATATGAGGGTTATACCATTGGATTCGGGAGGTCAAAATCTATCGATATTGATATATGTACTTCTTGCGAACTTTGCAAGGGAACCTCCTTAAGTCAATAGCTTTAGTCTTAATATAATGGGCAATAAA